GCTGAGCCATGATTCATGTAATCATGGCTCATTGAACATCACATCTTGCTGGCTAGTGGTATGCAGTACAACAGGGTAAACCATAAAACCAGGCTCCCAAATCCAAATGGCTGAGTTCACACAACCAACGACACTAGAACCAAATAAGCCCCATTATGGCTTGGCGCAACATGTTGAATTGAATCAACCGGAGTCACTGAAGGCTGTTAGAATTGTCCACTGATGGTGCTTCTTTTTCTTCCCCATCTCTTCTCTGTAGGCCAAGAGAAGTTCTTAAAGGAGCTCCTGTTGCTTCCCATGAGAGTCGATACCCTGAGTGTTCACACCCGGCGTGTTTCTTTAGAGAAGAAGCTGTCACAGATCGAAGAGGCCCTCAAAATCTTCTCCCGACCCAAAGTCTTCATCAAGTTGGACTCCTAAGCACAGAGGCCCTCTTGCCTTTGGCCTCTCCAGCCTTGTGCCCTCAAATCACAGGTGGCTTTGCTTCCTCACATGGTGGTTCCCGCCATGTAGGGTTTGTCTTGTTGCGTTGTCCATTGTTCTTGCTGTAAGGCCTGATTCTTCTCAGGATGGGGAAGCAAATCCATGTGTCTAGGTCAGGCACGGGAAACGAGTGCAAGCAGTAAGGGTCAAGACCTGGGATGATGGAACCCAAGAGCTTCTGATGGGCCAAGAGAGCCGTTTCCAAAATAAATCTTCTCAAGAAGATCTTCTCCTTCAAGCAGAGGGAAAGTTGTATTATTATTATTTTTTAAAACTACATATTCTCAGCGAGTTTAGAGGAGTATGTGCATTTTTAACTGAAACGATTGGACTGTTTTAAACAAATAAAGCATGTTTTGCAAGCAAGCTTGTAAGTTGAAAGTTGTGAGGGCCTTCCTAAGCAATTCTGAACGATTCTTCAACATTGGCCGTGTCAAGTCTTTTTATTTTCTTCAATACATCAAAAAGGTTGCCCTTAAATTACAAATTTCAGTTAAGATGATTTTCTCCTTTGAAATAACTTTCCAAAGTTTGTTTGTTTCTTCCTTCCTTCCTTCCTTCCTTCCTTCCTTCCTTCCTTCCTTCCTTTTCTTTCTTTCTTTCTTTCTTTCTTTCTTTCTTTCTTCTCTTTCTTCTCTTTCTTTCTTTCTTTCTTTCTTTCTTTCTTTCTTTCTTTCTTTCTTTCTTCAACTCACCATGGCCAACTCGCCACCACCAACTTGCCACAGGACCAGAGTTACACCAGTATTACAAATAATAATAATGGTGGAATTGAATCATGAAAGAAAGGATGCAAAAAGGAGGGGAAGAACGAAACGTGAATGACAAAACTGTTAAATATTTTTTTATTTATTTTAAACCATTCGATCGAATGGTTAAATTAAATTGTCCTGCTTGCAGGTTGTCCCATGGGAAGTTGGAGGCGGGGAGTTGGCTGCATCAAGTTGGCTGCAGGCCAGTTGTCTCCTTCGGAGCAAGAATGGTGGCTCTGGATTTCTTGGCCTCTGACAAATTTTAACATCTTCGTTGATCTGGTCTGCGCTGCCCTCTACCGAGGGATCCAAGAAATGCTTCACTGCCCAGGAAGGACTACAACAAGCCAAGGGTTTATTTTAGGGTTAGTGTGACCTTTGGCAACTATGGCATGACTTAAGCTGGTTGGGCAATTCCGGGTGTTGAAAGTCCCACAAGTCTTCAAGTGGCCAAGGCTGGAGACCCCGGTCCAGATAATCCTGTATCAGTAAGTTATTTGGATGCACTGAAACATTCAGTGCTTTGAGAAGTTAGTAATCTGCTTTAACTATCTGCACTAAAGCACTTTTAATCTCTTACTGTAACGCAGTACAGGTAACCACCACAATCGGGACCGGAATTTTTGTGGCTAGGAAGGTCGTGGTCAAGTGAAAGGGGCCCAATTTTATGACCTTTTTTTTGCCACAGTTGTAAAGCAAATCACTGCAGTCCTTAAGTGAATCATAGGATTGTTAAGTGAAACCACCGTCCCAAGGCTGGGAAGGTCATAATTGGGGGATCACATTACCCCGGGGCACTGCCACTGTTTGCCCAGCCCCTGAATTTGGATCGTGTGATAATGGGGGATGCTGCCACCATTGTGTGAGGATCCATTGTGAGTTGTTGTTGTTTTTCCCCAGTGCCGTCACTTCACTCGCTAAACCAAAGGTTGCCAGTTGAGAACTAGAGAGATAGAATTCTTTATTGGCCAAGTGTGATTGGACACATGAGGGATTTGTCTTGGTGCAAATGCTCTCAAGTCTATCAGAGATGCTGTACGATTCCATCTGATCTCTTTGCCTTCCTTAGCAAAACGTAGGTGTAGCCCCTAGATCAGCAGTCAGCAACCTGCGGCTCTGGAGCCACATGTGGCTCTTTCGGCCCTCTGCTGCGGCTTCCTGTCAGCTGATCCCACCCCTGGCTGGCCCCTCCTCTCCCCTCCCCATCACTCCTTGCCTGGCCTGAGAAGTTGAGGGTGATGGCAGGGGATGGAGACTCGCTCCATACTCCAGAGCAGGAGGTGACTGGCTGGGAGCAAGTGACCTAGAGTTGGCCACGCCCACCCAGTCGCAGCAGTTGTTAAACGATTGGCTCCCGGTGTTTTCTTTTTTGTGGGAAACGGGTCCAAATGGCTCTTTGAGTATTTAAGGTGGAAGACCCCTGCCCTAGGTGTATAGTGCTAAGGCAGAAGAGCCCTCAAAACATCACGGTCCCTGTTCCTACACATCAAAGAGGTGCAACTCTTTGCAGCCCCACACAAAAGCCAGGGGCACAACTCCCGCTGTCTTTGCAGACATTGCCACCGAGCTGTGGTGGACTTGGTCCCCTCCGCAGAACGAGAGAACTTCGGTCTTCCAAGGGGGACGTCAAAACAGTCAAAGTTTCAGGCGATGGAATTTTTTTTTTTCCTGGGTAGCTGAAGACCAGTGGGTCAGTAAGCTTGGTACCAAATGAGGCGTGTGTACCGAATGCTAATTTGTGAACATTTGAAATAACACTCATCGTTTTGTTACATCCTAGCTGCTTAATAGTTCTTTTCTGGAGCACTGCTAGGCAGCACAAACGATGAAAATGCTGGAGATGATTGATAGATTGGATGGATGGATGGATAGAGACGGATGTAGATGGATGGATGGATAGAGAGATGGATGTAGATGATAGATGGATGTAGATGGATGTATAGAGATGTATAGAGATGGATGGATGGATGGATAGAGAGATGTAGATAGATGATGGATGGATGGATAGATTAGATGATAGATAGATAGATAGATAGATAGATAGATAGATAGATAGATAGATAGATAGATAGATAGAGATGGATGTAGATGGATGGATGGATGTAGATAGATGATGGATGGATAGATGGATGGATGGATAGAGATGGATGTAGATGGATGGATGCATATAGATAGATAGATGATAGACAGATATGTAGATAGACACACAGAGAGAGACAGACAGACAACAGACAGGTATAGATGCTTAGCCGCATTTCGCTTAGGTCTGAATGAGTCAAAAGAGCCAAGTACCCAAAACCTGCAGGCCGTGTCTCTGCTGGTTAAACTTTAAAGTGAACAAGAGGAATCTTGAGTGTCTGTAATTTAAAAAGTAAATGAAGTTTCTGCATGATCAGTCTTTCAAGTGCTGTTAGCCGACTGTAGGAGAAAAGCAGCCCTGACTTGCTGCGATCAATACAGTAGGTTTCGCTTGAAAGCATCGGTACCTCTCTTTTGTTTGTTTGGCTGGAGAAGATTTAAGTAGGTGGGTGGCCACCATTTCCTGATCATTCATGAAAAGACAGTAGGTTCCACCTCACAAAGATCCATACGTGCATCAAGAACGCAATGTGTACATCAAAATCTGTCCCCTTAGTGAGAAATAAGATAGTTTCCCCAACCTGGTGCCCTCCAGACAGATGGAAGGACCATCGTTGGGCGGAAGGCTGGCATACAAGATTAGCCTTTCAAGTGCTTAGAAGCTTCGCTGTTGTTCTTGGAGATCACTCTGGGTCCCCTTCTAAAAGATGAAAATAAAAGCCACCCTTTGGCCCAGGGTCTTTCAACCCCAGCCGTTTGAAGATGGGTGGCTGGGGAATTCTGGGAGTTGAAGTCCACCCATCTTCAAAGGGGCCAAGGTTGAGAAACATCTGCTTTTAATTTATGGAAGAAATTCCCCTTGTCTGCTGCCCTTTCAACCTACACCCCGTTCCTATCAGCAGGCGTTCAATAGCATCGTGGGAGAAAATTAAGACCGTTTTGGGATCTTCACCAATGTGGTCTTGGTAATAAACCATGTATTATCTTGGCACGGAGTTCTTTGCTCACTTGCTAAAAGGCCTGGGAGTGTTCTTGGCTAATGGGGGGGTTTCCCCCCCCCCCCCATGAAGAATGGTTGCAGGAACTGGGCATGGCTGGTCTAGTGAAGAGAAGGACCAAATATTGGAAACATGATAGCATCTTCCAATATTTGAAAGGCTGCCATAGAGAGGAAGGGGTCAAGCTATTTTCTAAAGCACCCGAAGGCCAGACAAGGAATAATGGATGGAAACTGACCAAGGAGAGATTCAACCTGGAAATAAGGAGAAACTTTCTGACAGTGAGAACAATCAACCCATGGAACAGAAGTTGCCCTCGGAAGTTGAGGGAGCGCCATCACTTGAGACCTTCAAGAAGAGATCGGACTCCCATTTGTCGGGTGTAGGGTCTCCCGCTTGGGCAGGGGGTTGGACTATATGACCTACAAGGTCCCTTCCAACTCTGGTTATCTGTTATCTAATCTGCCTGCCATAGAGACTGAGGAAGGGACGTGGCTGAATTTACCAAGCCACCACTTCAAATGGACACAGGTGCCTGTCTCTCAGAGGCAGACCAGTTTCTCTCTCTCTTTCTCTTTCAGGATGGTTTCCTTCCATTGTCGTCTCCTCCTATCCCTCCTGCAGGTTTCTTTCAAAAATAAAATAAAACAATGTGAAGGAACACTGTATAAAAAAAAACCCCATGGTTTAATAGTCTGTTGCAATATATTAACTGTGACACACATATGTCATCGTAAAAACACCTAAAATCAAACACCTCATGAGAAGTTGGTGGAGGCAGAGCTTGGGGGATGAATGAGGCCAGCCCTCCCCTACCTGGAAGACAGGTAAGAGGCCAAAGAAAGTAATAGGAGGCCCGTCCCTTTAGCCCCCTGGACATGGAAAGGAGAGAGAGCCTCTGGGGCAGCCAAGGGTTGGGAGAAGGCAAGTTGGTCCTTCCAACTGCCCCAGTCAACCTGGTTGCAAGAAGCACCATCGGAGCATGAAGGGGGTGTGTGCATGTCCGGCTCAGCGAAGGCGAGCCTTGGTTCCAATCTCTAGACTTGACCTCCGATGGTCAAGGAGGGCGTGGCTCTTCCACGCTGACCCCAGAAACCATGTTTTTCAAGTAGAACCGGGAAGGAGAGACCTTGCCGCCCAAAGGCTATAGGGTGATGATGGTGCCATCCTCCTGGAGGCTTCCTGCTCTGCTACCCCGCATGGGGCTCCCACTGCCGCTGTGACTGTTCAGGGAAGGCAGGGAGCCTTGGGAGCTATAGAGCGAGAGGCTGTGCTGGAGGCTGTCGAGGAGACCCCCATTGGGGCAGCTGGCAGGCAAGTCGCTCTCGATGACCAGGTCTCCTTCTTCGTCACTTTCCCCTTCGGCGGTGCTACAGTTGCTCAGGTACTGGGAAGCCGGGCTAGGCGTCTGCTGGCTGGGCGTGCTGTCCGTGGACATGCCGGAACTCCCCGAAGCCTTGCTGCTGCGGATCACGTTGTTACGCTGATTGGCCGGCTTGACGGTGATGATGAGGTTGTGGCTGTTGGCCACCATCATGTCAGTGACCTGGTCCAGCGACTTGCCCGCCACGTCAATGCCGTTGACTTCGAGGATCTCGTCGTTGACAGCCAGAAGTCCGGTGCTCTCTGCCAAGCCGCCCTTGACCAAGCGGGAGATGAAGATCCCGGGCACTTTCTCCACCCCGTGGTGCGCCACTCGCACACTGACCCCATCCCGGATATAGAAGCCCAGGGGCTTGTTGGATCCATGTTTATGGAGCCGCACACGCCGGTGGGTCTCGGGCAAGATGTCCACGTCGATAATGGAGGAGATCTGGCGGAAGTCCTGAGGCATGCCGATCAACAGGTGTGGCTTGGCCCGTTGGTGCGCCGGCCGCAGCAGTCCCTTTTTCTTCCGCTGCAGTGAGTTGGAGGCAAAGACGCTGGCGTTGGCTTCTGCTGCAAGGAACAAAGGAAACAAACAAGAAGGTGTCACAAGGGGAAGTTCCCCAGCGATAGGGTGGGGTGGGGTGGGGTGGGGTGGGGTGGGGTGGAATAGAATAGAATAGAATAGAATAGAATAGAATAGAATAGAATAGAATAGAATAGTATTAAGAATGAAATGGAATAGACTAGACTAGACTAGACTAGACTAGACTAGAATAGAATAGAATAGAATAGAATAGAATAGAAAATATGGAATGGAATGGAATGGAATAGAATAGAATAGAATAGAATTAGAATAGAATAGAATAGAATAGAATTAGAATAGAATAGAATAGAATAGAATAGAATAGAATAGAATAGAATAGAATAGAATAGAATTCTTTTATTCTCCAAGTGTGATTGGACACACAAGGAATTTGTCTTAGTGAATATACCCTCAGTGTACATAAAAGAAAAAATACGTCAAGAGTCAAGAATCATCAGGTACAACACTTAATAATAGTCATAGGTTACAATAAGCAATCAAATCATACTAGGAAACAGTCAGTATAAATCATAATGATACAAGCGACAAAGTTACAGTCATACAGTCACAAGTGGGAGGGGTGGGTGATAAGGAGTGATGAGAAGATTAATAGCAATACTAATGCAGACTTTGTAAATAGTTGGACAGGGTTGAGGAATTATTTGTTTAGCAGCGTGAAGGCATGGGGGGGAAAAACTCCTTGTTTCTAGTTCTGGTGTGCAATGCTCTATAGCATCATTTTGAGGTTTGCTGGAATGCTGACATTAACCCGAATCTAAAGTTTTTTCGGCTTTCCACAATTAAATGTCAGCGTTCCAGCAAACCTCCATTCCAATCAGTTACTCTGAGACAAACATACTGTATTTTCCGGACTATAAGCCGCTACTTTTTTCCGCTTTGAACCCTGCGGCTTGTACAACAATGCAGCTTATCTATCAATTTTTCTTTGCTAACTGCCATCAGGGGGCGCAAAAAAGTGACAGATGCAAGAGGTCAATGCAAAGAAGAAGATGCTACCGGTAGTTTTTGGCGCACTCGACACAAGCAGCACGACACACACGAACGCAAAATATTTTTCACACCCTCATCATGGAAAGTACACGAAGAAAAGCATATGATGCAGCTCTTCAGTTGACAGCAATCAATCTATCTAGGAAGGGAATAGAGCTGCTGCACGTAAGCTTGGCGTTAATAAATCAATGGTGAGACGTTGGAGACTTCTGGCTGCATGCAAAGAGCATTCTTCTCTTTCTGTGTAAATATCCCATTTCACAACATATATATCTGCGGCTTATAGTCTGGTGTGGCTAATATATTTAAAAATATTTTTTTCTTTTAAAATTAAGTGGGTGCAGCTTATATTCCGATGCGCTCTATAGTCCGGTAAACATGGTATCTCAAAAGTACCTTGATTAGAATAGCAACTGGCACATCTGTGGAAACCCGAATCTAAAAGTTTTTTCGGGCTTCCCACAATTTCCCAAACTACAAATCTATCCCCGCTTGGCCGTCATCACATCTCATGGGCCAATCAAGCATCCGTCCAGAAGTAAGATCCTTATTTCATCCTGCGCCACACTAAATGACCTTGAACTAACAAAAGAATTTTATCACTTAGAGCTACTCAATTGAAATCACCTCCCGCCCACTCTCTTAGGTTATGTGGCAGCATGGAATATGGCTCCCAAAGCGGACACATAGATCCCAAATCTAATAGCTTACCAGCCACTTATCACCTCCCATGTGGCCTGGATACATACATACATACATGTGTATATTTGTACACAAACATACCTATGTTACCCATTTACAAACATAGATTTAACATAGAATAACAGAATTGGAAGGGACCTTGGAGGTCATTTACTCCAACCCATTGCTCGAGCAGGAGAGTCTATTCCAAATATTAGCCTTTACCTAGGATCGAACTCACAGCTTCCCGATTGTGACAAAGTTGCCTTTCTCTCCCTATTGGCTACCCAGCAATATTAGGTGCTAAATTCTGAGTTTCCATCTCTTGGGGTGCTCTTTTGTAATCCTTCGTGCCTTTGGATCACCCAAGCGATCTATCTTTTCACAGCTCTCTCTTTCTCCCAACACCGGATACTTTGAAAGTGCTGGATGGTTTAGTGATGCAAAAACGATTTAGCGTTTGGGATGTAGAATAGCTGAAGGCCAAGGTGGTGCCTGTCTGGCAAGGAGAAACATCAGCCAGATGTGCCATTTTTGATTTTGTCTAAGCAAGGCACAGCACCAGGCCATATGACTTAATCACCCAAGGATAATCCTCTTATCTATGTTACATAATGGAATGTTAGAATATGAGTTATTCTCTTCGTGGAAACCTGCCAGACTGGGGTGAGGATTAAGGAAAACTGAATAATTGGGTGCTTTTATACTTACACGCTGGAATACTGACAATACTATGGCCAACCTGAGGAATTCTGGGAGTTGAAGTCCGCCGATCTTAAAACTGCCCAGGTTGAGAAACCTTGCTATAAGAAGATAAATCCAATATTTTTCTCCTCCCAGAAGGGTTGCCTCCTTCCTCTCACCCTACTTCTGAGTGGCATTTGCTTCTAGGATTACAGAGCACAGCCTGGGAGGATTACAAAGGAGTATGAATAATTCAGTTTTAATCACACTTTGAGTTATGCCCCGCAGGCATTATATTGTAGATCTCAGCTACAGAACACAAAGGGCCACAGCATTTAACCATTGCCACAGCCAGTGCCCCAGACAAAGAAGGCAACCAATGGGTTTGAATCCCGCAAGAATTCATCAGAAATAACCTTCGCTGAAACCCTCAAAATATATGTGCTTAGGCTGCCAATTGTTCCATATTGAACAAGGGATGTGTGTGGAGGGAGGGGTGTTTTGTGCCATAATGCCATAGGATGACTTAGTTAAACGTTTGCTGACCTAAAATAATTACATATTAGCATTTAAGCAGAGTAAAAGACACAAATACACACATTCATTAAAATTATTATTTAGAATTGACATATTCCAATGGTAAATAAAAAAACATTGGGTGCCCAATGGTAAAAATCAGACTTGGAATAATGCATCCAGTTTTGGCCACCGCCACAATGCAGAAAAGATGTTGAGAAAGGGTGCAGAGAAGAGCAACAAAGATAATTAGGGGACCTGAGGCTAAAACATATAAGGAACAGTTGCTGGAATTGAGTATGTCTACGTTTAATGAAAAGAAGGACCAGGAGTGACATGATAGCAGTCTCCCAGTACCTGAGGGGCTGCCACAAAGAAAAGGGAGTCAAGCTATTCTCCAAAGCAACTGAAGGGCAGGACAAGAAACAATGGATGGAAACTAATCAAGGAGAGAAACGACCTAGAACTCAGGAGAAATTTCCTAACAGTGAGAACAGTTAACCAGTGGAACGGCTTGCCTCCAGAAGTTGTAATTCTCCAACACTGGAAGTTTTTGAGAAGAGATTGGATAACCGTTTGACTGAAATTACATAGGGTTTCCTGCCTGAGCAAGGGGGTTGGACTAGAAGACCTCCAAGGTCCCTTCCAACTCTGTTATTCTGTTCTGACCTCAAGCCATTTGTTTCAGCCCTCCTCTGAAGCAGGCCAGGTTGAATCCCACCATTTGTTTGACACTTTCTCTTCCTCTGCTGACAGATACGAGTCAGCTCTACATTTCTACTGCCCATGCCTCCCTGAGCTCTAAAGGCAAAGTTTGTTTATGAGAGAAAAAAGACAAAATTGGAAATAACGAAAAGAGAAGAGCCCATGAATCTGGACAATCCAGCTCCCTACATTGTAAAAAACTGCCAAGGACCGATCTGAAGGCCTGGGAGAACATCCAGTTTGCAGGCATATTGCTATGATTCCGTTAAGGCCATGATGGCAAACCATAGGTGGCACGCAGAGCCATTTGTGTCGGCACGCAAGCTGCAGGCAAACTTACCTCACTGGGCCTGCGCATGCCTCACAGCTGATTTTCGGCCCGTTTGAGGCCTTTTTCATCCTCCCAAAGGCTTGAGGAAGGCTTCTGCAGGCTGAAAACTAGCCCCGTTTTGTCACTTCCTGTTTTTCCGAAAATACCAGAAGTGATGAAACGGGGCTAGTTTTCGGCCTGCAGAAGCCTTCCTCAAACCTTTGGGAAGCCAAAAAAGGCCTCAAACTGGCTGAAAATCAGCTGTGAGGGGCAGTGCAGGTAAGCGGGTGGCGGGGGTGGGTGGGTGGGGTTTACGCACGCAGGCGTAGGGGACGTTGGGGGGTGCATTGCCTTCTGTGTGCAGGCACGCAAGTGCCAGCATGCAAGCGCGCACACCATTTTTAGGCACAGGAGCCCCAAAAGGTTAGCCACCGCTGTGTTAAGGGCCGGGGAAGGAGAAGAGGGAGTCATTTGTTTTGCAACTAACCCAAGTATGATTTGCCAAAAGGTAACAACAAGACCAAGTAGACATATCTTTGAAGCCTTGCTCCCTTCCAAAGCAATGGGAAGGTGCAAAAGGAAAACATAAACAACTCTCATGCTTCTGCCAGTTTTTATACCATATGTCGTCAAAAAAAGGGGGATGCCAGAATGCAAAGGAGCTGGCAAGACCTGAGGGCTATGTGTAAAAGAATTCCTTTTATAAGGAGGGACACCAGAGCTGCTTTTCAGGCTTCAGGGAGCCATCGCTTCACATTTTCCACGCCTCGGTGAGTAGATGAACTACAATGGCCGTCACCCAACCTTCGCAGTCATGGTTAGTTTTGGGGAGGAGTAATCAAACACATACGAAGGATGTCAGAATAGAGAAGGTTGGCCTGCTGATCCATGAAGAGCTCTGGAGACAGGAACAGAAAGGGGTCTATCCATCTTACGACTTTGTGCGCTATATAAATTGAATGGTTTTCTCTCTCTCTCTCTCTCTCTCTCTCTCTGTCTCTCTCTCTCTCTCTCAGCCAGACTAACCGACAGCCAAACTGGTTTTGAGAACGAAACAGATGGTAGAAAGAGCTAACAGTCCACAGAGAAATAACAAGTAGCCAAAAGAAGCAGCGTAGTGTGATAAAATTGGAATAGTTCTTAAACGGACAAGCCACCGAGAATACGGGTAAGATACAATTTATGAATGAGCTC